GGCTCTGAAGCACGGGAAATCGCAAGACGGACACGATGTCATGTGCTGTTTAGTTATGTGTTGGCCAGTCGCTATACAAATTGGTAGAATCGTTTTGCAACTAAAGCAATTAACTTCCATATTCGGCAAATTGGCATCACAGACTGGACACTCCATAGTTTCGTCGTCTATTTCGTCTCGGAAATTCTTGACTCCCTTTGGGGCTTTGCGTACAATCGATTCGATTTTCTTTGCATAACGAGCGTCAATGTTGTTTCTATACTCGGGTCTCATGAGCATGGACGCATACATGAAAGCTGACTTTTTCAAACCAGATCGATGGCATTCAATCACAGTCGATGTGATTATGGGAATAACATCTGGAAGTGAACGAGAATTTAATTCATTCCTACAGAAGAAGAAAGGGGGTGGTGTTTTCTTTTGTACTCACGTTCCGGGAATTGTGATATATTAGCGGCCACCTGGACCAGCAGTTTGGCTGCCAATAATGATTTCCCAGCTTTACATGTATACGCACTAAGGCATACCGATGTAGCAATATCAGGTTATGCCTCATCTCGGCCGTGACTGAAAGATTGTTTCGCCTTAATTCCTGGTACATGGAGTACAAAAGGTCTCGTGCCAGTTTGTAATTGCCTGAGATCTGCTCCTGATTCGCAATGATAACTGCTGTCTTTGCAGCATCTTTGTAGTGTCGCCTGGCCATGTACAATCTGAAGAGATATCTTGGATCTTTCGGAGACCCGTCGACTTCGCCCAGCAAAAACTCAATCAGCTGAGCAGACAATTGTTCATTGTTCGAGGTAGCAACGCAATCAATAGCCATAGACAGGGCTTGGGATTCCTCATTAGAAAATGCAGATGCTTTGAGAAGGAATCGCAGGGCTTTAGAAAACTCTCGTGCAAGAAAGTAATACTTTCCAGCTAACAGTGTATACTTCTCCCCTTCAAAGTACTGGGCAAGGGCCAAATAATCGCTTGACTTTGCATTTTCATACCTCTCCAGCAGCTCGCCATGCCTCTTGAGTTTGTTGTGCCTCTGGGCAAGAGAGAATGCCTCTTCTACACACCCACATAATACGAGGAATTGCAATGCCTGATCCATGTCACCAATTTTTTGGTAAAATTTCGCCAATAACTTTGCACTTTCCATAGATCTGGACTCTGTTACAATTTCTGAGGCAGAATGTGGATCACAAAGGTGATCCAAGTATATTCGTACACACGCCTCCAAATCGCCTGCTATTCTATAACTTCGGATAGCATCTTCAAATTGGCCATCCGACTCTTTGGCTTTGGCATAGAGACCATGCAACTTCGTCGACTTCACATTCGGCAAAATGTTAGCTATTTTATTCCACATCTTGAGGGAAATATAGTGAGCGCACGCCTCATCATAGTAACCACCGCGTTCATATAACCCGGCTGCCTCGGTAATGTGACCCACGGTGACCAGCAGTTCAGCGCAATCGAACAACAGCTGTTTGTCGTTTAGTTCAACCGCATACTGAATCTGAAAAAGGTTCCAAGTTTCACATTTAGGATTTTTCAATTGGTTTACGTTTGTATAATTACGCCTCTTCGGAAATCGCCTGCTCTTATAGACGTCCGGGCAATACCCATTTTGCACAAGCGTATGTGATCTTCGTACTCGGGTGAGCTGTTAATCAGCTGTTGAATGTCCCCAGTATCCAACAAATCTTCCTTGAATGCCTTTTCATAGTTGTACAGAGCATCTGTGTAATTGCCACTGGTAAATAGGGGGAGAAAAAACCAACAAGTTAGCCTGAAGAATGGAGGGAGGGGATATATCAAATGCTTGGTCGTACTTAAACTCTAATTGCTGGGCGTATTCTCTTGCGATAAACGGCACTTGATCCGGCTCGTATTTATGAGCCAATAATAAAGCTTGCTCCCATTGCAGCATGTCCCTGCAGATATCTAATGCATCTTTGGTATATGATCCCTTTAGCAAGAATGCTTTGGCTTCTTCGTATTTTTGCAGCAACATGCAACAAAAACCGCTAACCAAGTTGACATCCTCTAGGTAGCGGATGTCCTCCAACACACTTACCATGCCGACGTTGCCAGCTCGACGACATGCTCTCAAGGCTATGAATAAAAGAACTAGCGTCGTTACTTGATCTATTATACAGATTGAAAGAAATTGCATTGCCTACCGATTGTCGGCTCCAAGTCCATCAACGCTTGCTGGACAATTTCCATCCAGCTTCCCTTTAAATTGATCTTTTCACAGGTGTCGAATGCTTCGTTGTACTTTCGTAGATTCAATTGGTTCTTTAAATTATTGGCTTGACTAGATCCCGGAATTACAACATGGGTTGATAGGGTCTGTGTTGCGTACTGCCCACCGTCTATGTACAATACCAGATCGCCATCGCACAGCATTAAGGGAATTTGTGATGGGTTCAGTTTCGTTTCACCTGCTTTCAGTGTATGTCTGCCGTTGACAGAATAGCGCACAAAGACATGTGTGTCAACATTTCTTTCGCTGTACGTAATAAAGTGGTTCGGGCTTGCCAAATCCCACAAACAAAGCTCACATTTTTTCGGAAAGTCCGCTATGACGATTGCTTCTTCGAAGGCTGGCAAAAAAACATAACCTTGTGCGTGTTCATCCATGAATATTAACTTGGTACCCTCCGAGTCGGTGAACAGTTTCGTAATGCCCATGTTGTGTCGAAATGTTGTACACACTTCCCACTTCTCCAATGAAAAGTAAATGAGGTGACCAATCTGTAGGAGGCGATTTTTGAATGAGGTAACCGAACTTATTATGACATTTCCTAATATATTTATGTACTTACGTCAGTGGCAAATATCAAATATTCTTGTGTTAGGCAGTAGCAAGTTATTACTGTATCGTTGAGAGTGGGTACAGCTGCCGGAAATGTTTGCATTAGTTTATCTTTGACATTTGGGTTGTCGGCTACGATGGCCTGCAGGACTAGCTGGGGCCGACTGTATATGGCGCAATAGTCCGCATTCAGTCGGATATCTTGTATGGATTGTGAAAAATCTCGTTCACTTAAAGGTTCTGGCTTGTCTCCGAGCGTCTTGCCCAGGTCATAAAACCACACATGCTTGTCAACTCCCACCGCCAAATGGTATGGGCCTAGAGCTAAGAATTGAGGTTCCATTTCCAATGCCTGTCGATAGGGAATCGATTTTGACTGCAAAAAAGGAATTTTGATTGGATGAGCCGTGATGTAAGTGCAGTTTTTACAAAGCACAAACCTTCTCTGGCGAATACACATAAATTGAAACCTCTGCCAGACTACTCAGTATCGCAATTCGCGGAGCGGAGACAGCATATTTGCAGGGCAACTTTGTAACGTAAATGTATATAGAACCGGTCACTGTTGTTATTGCCAATAGCTGCCCGTCAGCAGACCAGTCTATCATTTGAACACCCGAATGGTCAGGCACCGTAATAATTTTCTCCGTTTCGTGCAGATTCGTGATCGAGTGAATTTTTATGCTGAAATAAATAAAATTCAATATGGTGGAAAGCTTGCAGTTTGGCTTGTGCAACTCTTTACTTATCATCTCCGCATGAGGCAACAATTTCCAAGGCCGGGCAGTAGGATAGACCCGTCAATAGTTCTTTATGGTTCTTCACCTGCCACAGTTCCTGCCCAATGTCTTTGGGGTGCGTTGATATCGCGACAACGTGGCCATTGGAGAAGCCCAATAGAATATATCCATCTCCGAACCATTTATGTTGCAGCAAGGAGCCATAACGACTTTGAAATCCCAATTCGGTGGGCGAGTCAGGTTCTGGTAAATAGTAAAGATACAGAGTCCTTTTGCCAATTATCATGCTAATTGCATTGTCGCCGCTTATGCGGTCATCATTGGCCATTTCTGCGAAATACATGTCACTCGGGACGTCACGCAGTTGGACGACCCGAACGGAATCTCCTTCCTCGTTGCTTAAAGAGAAGGTTTTATCGTCCGAGCCCAGTGCCAGAAGATTCTGGGCAGACCAGGCGCCGCATGTAATTCGCTTTGAGTGTTTCCCCAGAACGGGTATCCTTTTTCCAGTTTTATGGTTGTAAATGGCCAAATTGCCTCGAGCCGTTCCAACTGCCAATATTTGATCCTGCTTTGACCACACCACGCATGACAAGGGATCCCTCAGGCCAGACTCAATTGCAACCTTTTGCAATGTATTTGCATTCCAGATAGTGATAGTCGGCGAAGTAGCCGTAATTATGCCCAATAATTCGCCATCGTTGTCCCAAGCAAATCCCGAGCACAGCCTAAACCAACCAGTACATTCCATTATGATTAAAGTGGGTGATTATGATGATTTATTTCTCACTTACCCCGAGAGTATTATTCTTTCCAAAACTTGACCCTGGCGATTGAATATCGCTACAGATCCGTCATTGCCGGTGGTAGCTAAATACGAACCGTGAGTCTTCTGCCATATAAAATAGACATCGCCCGGTCCGTGGGGTTCCTCATATTTGTAAAGGACTTTTTCGAAAGACATTCTTTCAATGGGTTTTCTTTTAAGCTTAATTCTAATCGATTTGTCGTTGTGCTCCGAGACCATTTAGTTCCTCTTAAACTCTCCTCGGTTCAGTCATCGTCCGGAGTATTCCACAAAATGCTTACTGCCCGAAAATAAAGTCCTTAATTCTATCTATTCATTCTGTACTGCAAAATGCCCAATGGTTTCCATAACAACGGTCCAGCGGGCAGACTATAGCTTCATGTCAAAAGAATTGATACCACGATTAGATGTTATTTTTCGTGTCGGTACATTAATTTTTCCGGAACAAACATCATAAAAAAGGAATGTTGTTGTAAATGGTGTCAAACAAAATCCCTCGCACAAGCTCTCAGCTCAAGGTAGAAAACACTTATTTGACCACAACAAAGCGCAAGTGCCAAAGCTAGTTTTTCCACAGCTGATTGTTGATAGATTCTCAACACTCACCGAGAATTGGTAGCTGCAGAAGCCATTGTTTCGGAAGACAAACTCGTCGATTTTGTTTTTTTTTTTCGCAAAGTTTGCATTTTGTTGACCCTTTTGTTTTTCGATTTTCCAATTTTACTTGACCACCAGCGACCGCTCGTACCAAATATAATTGATACAGAATGCATGTTTCATGACCTTTAGAGGGTAAACATATAAAATCGGGCGAATCATATTGATCGCAGGAAATATATATTAATATATTTTATTCGCAGTTTTCTACCCTGCAACAATTTGGAAGTGACTTACTCACCCCCTCTCTAAGATGCCAAACTACTACTTTGTAGCCCCAAGGAAGATAAAAGAAGTGTCACGCATGGTAGACGAGTACGAGGGCAGTTCGGAAACTTCTTTGCCTGTCACAAAAAGCGTCCATCTGGCAACTGCTTCACATAGAAACAGGCGTTCAAAGAAAGACGCATCCGCATTTTTTTTTACAATGGAAAAATTAGAAATGTGATATGCGTCATTAAATATTAACATAATAAAGGTTTATCTTCTTTTTATTCCTCATATTTTTATTTTATTGTCAATTTACTTTTTATTTATAAAACTTGTGAAATTGGTGGTGGTTCCTTTCGTTTAATTCTTTTAATGGGGGACAGATTGGTTTGTTTTGACAAATCTGCTGATTAGTTGCAAGCTTCTGCAGGAATACCGTCCGTTTACTTTTCGAAATTTCCTTGCAAAAGAGAATAAAACTACCTTACTCTCTCAGAAAGATGTTGCTGGACAATTCCTGCAGCAAAAGTAACCAGACACACCTACTATTGCAACCTTTTGGATCAATTAAATGTACAAATTCGAGAAAAACGTCCTGGCTTCCAACACAAAAAAATGTTTTTTCATCAAGACAACGCACTAAAATTAACGAATTAAAGTACGAGTTGCTTGACCACCACCCTTATTCTCCTGATTTATAAAGTTTTTCGTATTTTATTTTTTGTGCGAATTGCACATTAGCCTACTGGTTATGTAGAAGGCACTTCGTGTGCCCTTCATTTGAATGTGCCATTCGGCTCACACATCTCCGTAGAGCTTTTGGGACAACCAAAAAAAGGATTCCAGGATTCCCATAAGGATAACGGTTCAGTATATATTTTTTTTTGATTTGACATTTTGATAGCAAACACAATGAGTGCTTATGTTTCTCTTTTTTCAGTAGAGGATCTAGTAGTATGGGCGTTTATAAATATGTAGGCTAGCACTGAAACGTTTCAAAGAAACCTTTTAAAAATGCAAATCAATGTTGTTTATGAAATTTTTATTCTACTTACAAATTTTATTTTATACAAATGCTATAAACAAGTAAAAAAATACCAAGTTAAGAGATGTAAGGAAAATGTACATATAAATTACATTCAGTTTCTAATTTAGGCAATCGTCGGATATGAATCGGAAACATGTAAATTTTGATTGACAGCATGAATTGATGGTATATGGCATCAGTCGCCACGAGTAATTACCATTGTCGTGCAATGCGGACAACATAAGATAAAAGCGAACGCGTAGGAAAGAATAACATAACATAAAAACAGTCTGCTGGCCAATGTTACTGCCAAGTCCTCAACGTATTGCTAACGTCGTTTTGCATTTCGTCCCATAGGGAGCGAGTTAGTTATTTTTATTAGTGAATATTTTGGTGTAAAATCAGGTCTAAATTCTATTCGAGCATTGGTTACAATTTAATTTTTGATACATATATACACTTATATACACAATGGAACATTCTTAAAAAGTTAGTTAGTACAAGTAGTTTTATTTGTAATAATAAATAGTTTTAAATTATCTAATTGTAGTTATGTTGTTGGAGGGATTTGGTTGAGCGTTGTCTTATTGCTACGATGATGTGAAGTTGTACCTGCGCATCGATCGGGCTGGGGTAACTAATTCGACCTTTATATTTGCGGTGGCAGTTACTTTCGTGGAGTTTGAGTCGGAGTGATGCGTTTCGACTGTAACTTCCGGTTGTACAACGATGCTTTGTAGTTCGGGTGGAAAGTTCTCCATGCCGACATTGCTTCCATGCACATTCGAGCCATGAGCTTGATGCGAACCGACCGAGGATGCGTTATTCGGTGTCGTGGTGGACGAACAAGGCGGCGGTGGTTGTGGTGGTGGTTGTTGTTGGTTGTGATGGTATTGGGGTGGTGCTTGTGGTGGCGTTGTGTGATGAGGATTGTAAGCTGTCGGCTGATTGTAGTGATAACGATGTTGCTGTTGCTGCGCATTTGCTGAGTGTTGGCGCATGTAATTCGGCGGAACATCCCTTGGCGTGCCGGATGCGGATGCATGGTGGTAGTTGAGATTGTTTGCGTAATTGATATTGTTGCCATAATGTCCCCCATTCGTTGCAGTCCACTCATTGTTCATCGGAATTGACGAGTTGGATGATTTCCAAGAGGGTGGCTCCTCGGTAATTGTTGTCAGCGAGGGGTCATTGTTGTCCTTATAATTATAATGGGGTTTCTGACAAGTACGTGACGAAGATCGCATCGAACCCATTGCGATATTCTTACTCGTTCTTTTGCCGTTCCGAGACATTTGCGGTGATGGCGTGGAAATGCGATCTGGGTGTTCCAGTGGTATGAGTTCCGATGCCGGTCCAACCATGCTCAATACAATGGGATACATGACCAAACTGTTGAATGCCCCTACGCAAAGTACAGCTAAGAGAAGCCAAAAGAAGTGGCGGATGACAAACTCAAATGGGGAGGTAGATAACATGAAGACGGCCAGTGTCGATGTAAGGATTCCATGTGTTAACGGTCCCAAGGTAACCTGCATGGAAAGTAGAACACGCCGTTCCCGATTTCCAACAGAAGTTAGAAATCCCTGCAAAGTAAGTAAAAATGTATTCAATTAGAATCGACTCAAGAGCTGACTTGGCAATTTTTGAGAGAATGGATGGATGCTTACCAAAGTTATATGAACGATGAAGCAAAGCATCATGCCCACACTTAGTATAAGAATAACAGCGGGTAATGCCGACAACTTGATCCCCAATATCGCCATAATTCCGAAAATTTGTGCCAGAGATGCCAAAACACTCAGTATAACCAATACAGCCGCCCATATCGACAGCAGAAGAATGCAGACTAGAACAAAAGCCACAACAACACAACACGACAAAATCATGGCTAAGGAGGACCTCAAGGTCATGTATTGTTCCCAGAAAATAAATGGAATGCCTGAACAAAGAAGAAAGAATGGGAATCGATTGCGTTGAAACCTCAATCCTAGATTAATCTGTCACTCATTTGAATCTTACCAGATGGATAGTTAGGCAAGCCTCTCGACTCAAAGCGCATGCTCAACTCCCGGATGTGGCCGATTAATGACTTTATTTCAGATGTATCCGTTAAGCCATGCAGATAAAATGGCAACTGCGAATACACAAGAGGCAGCGATTTCGGTATCTTCAAGTCGGTTTCCGTTGGAACATGATAATATTGGCGCGGCTCCGGATGCAATTTAGCCTGAAAGGAAGACGTTATTAGAGCATTTTGTTTCCAACTACTTACAACGCGAATACATACCTGCGAAGCACCATACGCAAACACGTCGTTTGTCGCCCATGCCGATAGGTAGTTGTAGAACGCTTTGGGATTAATTATTCCCTCGTTGTCGACTAAACGATGTTGTACTACCAATGCCTTGTCGACCGGATTGTCCACATGACCCGTCTGCACCAGAAGCTTGTAGGCTAGTATCGCGTCGCTGGTAGCATTAGGATGCCAACCCTCTTGATTGATGCAGCCTTCTTTGAATTCGCGATCGAATATTTTCTGCAAATTTCTCAACCAATCCCGAAAGAGAGACAGCCAAAAGTCGGGTAGGCCACCATTGTCATTCTTAATAACGTGGGGTACACGAACAAAGGCTTCGTGGTATTCGTGCAGGAGACGTTGATTGTTGGGATACTCGAAGTTTCCCTGCGTGACGGCGTACATGCTGTAGAAACCGAACATCGACGTTTGAGCATTCAGGAACTTGTATTCGTTTGTGTCCTTGGGCACCAAATCTATCAAATCCAAACCATCTTGCAGCTTTGTTGAGGCGTACAGACTAAAGATGACCGTACCCACAAACGATGTAATAACAATGAATTTAATCCAGCTCTTCATGAGGAAGGGCGTATAGTATTTCACGGCAAATTTAGCAAGCGAAAAGGAAGGTAAGTTTTTCTCTGCGGAGCAGGACAGCAAGGCTTCTTCTTGTCTTGCAGCGTTGACTGTAGGCGACGTCGGTCGGCCGTTTTTACAGACTTTATTTTGTATGGTCGCTGACCCTCTTAAACTGCCTCGTGAATTCTTCAAGGGATTATTATTTTGGATCTGTTGAAAGGGATTGACTGGTTGTTCTTTCCATATGGGAAAACAACAACACGAAATATCCGCACGGCCAGCAGTCCGTCTTCGCAGATCTAGCGATATCATGGCTGGGAACACCAGCAAGGCCGCAGCCAGATTGAAACACATAACAATTGCCGCCTGAAGGCAGAAAACTTTCAGGGCAGGCACCGGTATAAAGGCAGCCGCGAAAAACGCTCCTGTAGTAGAACAAGAGCTAAACAGTATGCTGGGACCCACTTTCTTGAGAATATATTTAGTTTGCTCCTTGCGATTGCTTTCTGCATACGCAGAAGTAAGCATGAATATATGATCAACTCCAAGTCCCAATGCCAAAAAGGGCACAACTTGTGTGCTGGCCGCATTGAAGACAATGCCCAATATGGCGCACAAGCCCAATCCCGCAGCTGTTGAAAAGCCAATCAATAATACGCCAGCTACTCCCACGCTGGACTGTCCCTTCACTGGGTCTCGCCAACGAATGAGTGTGCAGAATGCATAGCTAACGGTAGCAATAACTCCAATTAGAATACTCAAAGGTTTGGGGTTCGAGAACTTCTCTAAAATGTCGTCCAAAGTGGCGGACGAAAACACATAAACGTTGTACTTCTTGGACATGCTAGCGCCGGTCATAATGTTTTCGACTTCTTTGGAAAAATTTCGTTGCCAGGCAGTTAAGACCTCTGCCGCCTTCTCCGGGGTCCAGCTAATGTGATGGACTTTGTAGTTTTCATTCCAGAAGTCAAACAGTTCCTTCTCCGTCATCAGCTGCACCACAGTCTGAATACCCTTGGCCCTTTTCAAGTGGCCGGTGCGATTTCGTTGCACACCACCCACGATCAACTCCTCCGGCCAATGCATGTATTTGGCGGCAAATCCGTAGCAGCCCCCAGTCAGTATTCCACCAACATCCAAGGGAAAATCACTGTTTTTGTTCGGTGCAGTTTCGGGACACTGAGGGTTTTTGGGATCCAGACATGGCTTTTCGGTGTAACCTGATGAAATTGCCGCACGCTTCATGTACTGCTCGATCGTGTCAAAGTCGAAGGGTATAGTTTGATCACTCATCTGTTTCTTCATGGACTGCATCAGTTTTGAGGGATTAAGTGTGCTCCAGGTAATGCGTTCGTCCATACTCCTAAAAAGCGATGACCTAATCAATGTGGTGTCCAGATTGTGTGGAAAATTAAAGAAAATACTTACGGAATTTGAACGGGAAAGTCTGGTCCCAGCAGCTGACTCCCCTCCCAGAAACAATCTAATGGCGTTATTATGGAACACGGAATAAGATGCTTTAGGATCTGTTCTATGTAATAAGGACCTTCAAAACTCGGAGTAGTTGGCGAATTGCACATGTCCCTAAGACTCCAATCTGTGTCGAACATGTGTATCTTAACGGCCGTTGCTTTCTTTAGCACCTCGAGATGCGTCAGCAGTGCTTGCGGATGAAGAACCGATGCGTTCGGATCGTGACCCGTCTGTATAAGCAATTGGTGTGTTGAACTCTCCGACTCTCCTATGGTCTTCTGTGTGTACGCCAGCTCTGTCTCGAGTCGTCCGCCCTCCTGTATCCAAAGCTGGTGGACTTTCGAATGGATTTGCACACTTTTGAGGCCAACGCAGAATGTGCTTAATACTAGAATTGCCACAAATAGAACCTTGCCGGCATGCTTTTGCACCGAGCTGCCCAGAGATTCGAAGTGTGATTGAAATACTGAACGTAGGTAAATGGATGTACGGTTTCCGCGGGCTTTACCCTGAAAAGACAAAAACAACAAAATGCGAATGTCAAATGCCAGTTTAAAGAGTCAAAGCAAACGGGTGCTTGGGATCTATTGGATGATCTTGAAAAGAAATGCGGATATACGCGTGGATTCAATAAGTATTTGGCAAAGCTGGCCATATTTCCAAGATTCAAACTCGCAAAATTCGATTAATTTAAATTTGGCATTTGGCTTCGAGGCAGTTGTTTGTATTTGAATACAGTTTTATGTATGTAGCGAGGTCATCTTTCTGGTCTAATTTACAAATGAAAATTGTGACGAACTCTAAATTGACATGTACCCTTAAGACATAATATCGGATCTGTCCACTCAATGTGAAATCCTTGGTGGATTTTAATGAAGACATTTAGAAAACAAAAAGCGAAACATTAACAATTTTGATAAGCAATGCGATAACGATTGCAGGTAGAGCAGGGAATTGCAATTACAGGGAATTGAAGAATTGAAGATCTCGACCGAAAGGACTTTTACATTTAACGCTAATGAAATTTGCGTCGTGCTGGGTTCATGGCATTGGTATTTGTGATGGACGTGCAATTTCTTAAAAATCACCGCGGGAGATTTCTAAGATAATGGCCGTATGAAGTCAGTGGAAATCAGCGATCAGCCAATGCAATGGGTGTGCGCCCGATTGTTGGTGCCCGTTGATTATTCTTGGAACCTCTGAGAGTAATAGTAGCCTCTACTCGTCAAATAGATTAAAACGATGTGTTAACACCTTTATGGCACTTCTGTAGCCATGTGTCAATGTCGTAAAAAAATTCCAAGTATTTTCAAATGTCCTGCTGCGACGTTGAGTTGGGAAAACGGCTATGTCCTTGATGACGTGCCGTTAGGGATAGACAACACGTACACACGCGACTAACACAAGGGACTATTTCCAGTGAGCGTTAGCATGTCCCTAAATAATCATAAGGATTGTTTCTTAAACTGATCTATGTATGTGTGTACGAACTAATCCGAGTATCTTTAAATATGGCGATGCGTAAAATTCCAACTCTCTGATGTTTTATCCTATTAAGAATTTATTGAAATTTTTAACTTTTATGGGGCCAGATATTTTACATCTTCGTGGCTAAGTAATGTGCCTAAATAATTGATGATATCCTTATAATAAAAATCTACCACATAAATACATACACACACATTCATTTGGAATACGAGATGCTAATAACCAACCAGGCGAATGTCGTCCATTCTCACAGTTGTTGTAGGACACCCAAGAAGATGTGTTGGTCTATACAAACATAAATATGTATGGATGTAAATAAACATGTGTTCCACAACGAAGCACACACACACACACACACACACACACAGCAACCCAAACGAACGTAGTATGTGTGAAAGGTAAGCGTTTGTGTGCATCTGCGTGAACAAGGAGCAATAACAGCTGCTCGTTCTTCTGCCTTGATCTTTAGATCAGACGGGCGATACGGGTCATGTTGAAGAACATGCTTAAGGAACACATGCAAGGCGATATTATCACATCCTTCTTCACCAAGATTCATTAGAAGCTGTGTGGTTTGCCATCAACAATGCCGTTCCATTTAAATATACTACATAGAATTAGAGTTTCATTCCCGCTGATAAGGTAGGAAGATGTTTGTGTCCCAAGGGACTAGGGACTCGATTACATTGCACGAAGGTCTTGACGACCATCTGAAAGAGTAACAAGCACGGCCAATATGAATCAAAGCTTTGTTAAGAATTAACTGAACTGTAACACCTCAATCCAGTTCCCCAATGCTCTGTGAAGTTGTATTTTGTAATCGAAAATAATCGCGGAATCACCGAAATATACAGCCTCCCTTAATTTTTTGGAATGTTGCTGACAGCAGCCATACAGGTAGATACGTACTAGAACGATGTGTGTGTTTGGGTATAATTGTGGACAGGTAATGTCTTCATCCGCACACAACACAAGATCAGTCCGTTACGGCTGTAGAAATGACCTGTATTTGTGCTTCTTTCCGGTCGCACAGAGATCATATGAATGTACCTAGAATAGCCGGTTGTTTTTTCTTTTTGGAAGATGAACGCACCGAGGGGTCTTGCTAATGTCTTTATTCCAACTTTATTTCTCCAAAATGTGTTTCAATATCGATGTAATAACGGAGAGAGAGAGAGAGAGAGAGGAAGAGAAAGACATAGAGATTGGAGAGAGAACAAATAAATTGTTTTTTGTTTTTCAATTATCAGCGGAAGAAGGAAATGCAATATTTGTATTTAGCCGAGAAGGCCAATAAGGGATATTCTCTTGAAAATGACAAAAGGGTCGGCATCTGTTTGATTTTCAATTTTGCTATTTGGTGATGTCTGCCCGCAATAGTTTCTCTCTTAATAATATGAACTAAATAAGAGAGATCACCAGTGTGTTGCCTGCCAAGACGACGATGATATAACACAAAAGGCATACAGAATGGAACCCACCAACCATATGTACATGGGTACATGTGTACATCCACACAAATGCGACACTTCACGGCAACGATGCCGCCATCAGTGCTCCAGCCGCATTAAAACAGCTATAAATTTGAACATCTACTGTGGCTGTGGGTCGTGCATGCCGCATAGCCGAAAGATTCAGGTCCACGACGACAACAAAGAGAACGGAGACAGCAGCGCTTGTGGTGGTGGAGGCCTTTGTAACGGCGGCGCAGAGTACAAATGGTCGACAGAACGAATGCACCAATCCACAGCTGTAGTCTCTATGGGTGGCCACAGTCGCCTTACAGTTTTGCCGCGGCAATTTCTCGCAGTCAGTCAAGTCAGCTTATGTTTGACGGTTTTCTTTTAATGTAAACAAACGAAAAGAAAACAAACAAACATGTATGCGTGAGCATTCCGTCTACCACCAGAAACAGATTCAAATATTTTCTTATTTACTTTGCAAACTTCATAGAAATAACATCTCGCTCCCAAATTACACTCGAGTACGACCGAGCATGTCGAGGCTACATCCATACATGCCTGCAGTGGGCCTGACCCCGACTCTCCCTATTTGGGGAGTTGACAACTTCCCGACAAAATTTTATAGACTCAAGAAAAGAAAAGAGTATTGGCCCAGTTTTATCCAAATCAATCAGCAGATGAGAGATTTGTCTCCATGCATTTTGAAGGCAACACACCGAAATGCCATGCCCCCCTTCAGAATACACCGAGTCCGTCCGTGTGCCGTAAAGTTGTTACACTAAAGACGATCATTCATTTTATTTATTTCATTCTCCGTCTTCCTTTTTGTTATGGATACTGTTGTCTGATCTACCAGGTCCAGATGCCCGATGCCCACTTCAGTTGAGAGGGGCCAGAAAACAAAACAAAAACAAGAATTTGTGAACACACACATGCACACATTTACCGATTCGGGTTCGTCGTCATCGTCGTAGTACTCTGCGATGATCAAATGTAGAAAATCCAAGGTTTATTCTTTAGTTATTGTTGTTTTTGTGCCTGCCAATCCACACTAAAGAAGTTTCGCTTTAGGGCTGGACTAAAGACGATGACGACGATGACGACGACGATGATGATGAAGATGCTGGCGTTGTATTGCGGTCATTGTGTTGTTGCTGTTGTTATTATTGTTGTCTTTGCTGTTGTTGTTTCTACGGTGCCATAATGGTTTTGTTACTGCTGAAATGCTTTGAATGGGTTCGTTTGTGGCCGATTCCAACGATACATCTTGCTCTGCGGTCGGCTGGTTTGTTGGCTGTCTGTCTGTCTGTCTGTCTCTACGTCCGTCCGGCCATCCATCTACCTTACCACCGTCGTTGAATGCCTGTGTGTGTTCGCTTGTTTCAACGTTTTTAATGTCTTCATTATTTTCGATTTACGTTTACGTCTGTATTTTATGCCCAGCGATGATGTTATTGTTTTTCTCTTTTTTGTTGTTACTTTTGTCTTAGCCACTACGGTTGGGACAGGCCGTATGCTATGTTAGTCACCGCATTTGTCGCATTTGTAACTTAATCGGAGCATTTGGCTATGCCAGTTCACAATGCAAGCTATTGCTAGCAAAATTCGAAAATTGTAAAGTGCCAATGGGGTCGCTCCTAAGGATTACAATTTTTAGATAATATTTTTTTACCAGGCTGATTAGTTGAGATAGGTTGCAATAAAATGAAATTACTGAAATGTTCCGTTTTGAAATAAAAATAATTTGTTTAGTTTTATTTCGTAACTTCTTATTCAGTAAAAATTGTAAATCCCAGTAACTCGTTTACTGGACGTTGGAATATCAAACAACACTCGTTAATGATTTGTACAAAATATTTGAAATTATTGCGTTATCGTCCACACTTTTTATTAAGAAAAATAAAACATTAGTGGAAACATTGAATTTAAAAGAGGTGTAATAACTATTATAATAACAAATGTTCACCAGGATCTTATTAAAATAAAAAAGAACTCGTTGAAAACTGAAATCTGCTCGATCTATGACGTTGGACTGGCTGACATCTTCAAAAATTGTCATTATCAAGTATTTGTCAATGTCGGATCAGTTTGCTGCGAAGGTGGCATACAACACCCTTTTTTTCCATTATATTTTCCATTTAAAGATAACTATTTCCCCAAAACATATGCTGTAGGAATTTAAAAATTCGTTCAAACAAATTTCTATCGAAAAAATTGGAGGATGTGCATTTTAGATGGATGAAAAGGTACATTTCGGCAGTTGTTTTTATCTGCGGGATAGCGCACTCAACATTTCGACTATACCGCCGACATACAATTATCGTTTCGCCATCAAAGCTCTTCTGGGTGTTCCTTTTTTTAACAGCGAAGCAGCTGATACAAAGAAACCAACAACACCATTGTTGCCAGTGGGAGGGGTGGAAAAGACATACTCTTTTTTGTTGTAGAATTTAGAGGAAATACGGAAATACTATCTTCAAAATAACGTTTTGTAATAGATCAATATTAACAGACATTGATTTAATACAAAACGTTGTTTTGAAGATTGTATTTCCGTTGTCACGAGCAACAACGCACTCTTCAAAGGGTGATATGGAGGGATGGAGGGTAGAGGCACCACCTTCCTGCGACATTAGCAAAGTCATTATTTTACAAAATGAAATTGTTTTTTTATCAAATAGACAAGAAATAGTTTTGAAATGTGGCGAATACCAAACTCTATGTTTTTAGCATTTCGATTTTGTTTTTATTTAAACAAAAATCAAAAAATTGAAAAAAAAAATGGACACACAATTTAGACCCTTAATGCGACAGAATATCCACCAACTCCAAGTTGAAATTGCATAAGAAGTAATTTGTTTCTATAATAGGAATTAGACAGGGTAGGATTATAGGGCAATTATAAGTGACAATGATTTCATGCAAGAACATGTTGCGAATAAATGAAGAAATGTGACACTATGAGATGTTTACACATAGAGGGAGGGAGGGACAGGTCGCGAGTATGGTTTTTAAAATATTTTGAATTAAAGTTCGTAACTGCTCCAACAAAACCTAAAGCAAAACATGAGGTGGCATTCAATGTTGCTCTTCAAGATGGGATGATTTTGTGCTTTCTTACTTTGTCGATTTGATCCAAAGCTATTTGGGCATCGACCCACGTTGTGCGGATATATAAATCGGAAAATAGCTTTTCGTCGACCACATCTCCGTGTGTGTCGGGGACGCGGGGCAGGGTATCCATTGTGGGCACAACCATATTTTGTTGTGTATTTCCTATCCTCCAAATGATGCCAAGTTTTTATGCATGCGGCATTTGTTCGATCTGTGTTTGTTGTATGTGGATAGGATTGGCCTGTGCTTCCAAACCAGCACGGATGGATGTTTTTGTTCTGTTTTTCTTTTCTTTTTTTTTCCGATCCACACAAATGTGTTTTTGTTTAATTTCACTACTTTATCGATCACTTGTATATTTTGTTTTCAATCTTCCGTGGATGGATATTGTTGTGTTTTATCACGTTTTTCATTCCTTGTTTTTCTTTTTTTTTTCGTATTCTCACGTAAAACAATACTTTTGGTTGATCATTTTCTCATTCTCTTTGCGCTCTCCCTCTTCACTTGTAAGCTCTTACTATTTACAGGGAGGTTAGCTAGCACTGCACTCAGAAACTACGGCGTGCTCACTGTGGCTCTTTCCGTTCGACTTTTATTTGATTTCATTTAATTAAAAACAAAAAAAAAAAACACAAAACAAAAAATAAAAACAAATTGTACTTTTCACATTTTAATGGAATGCACAAACATTTCTTTTAGTTCTTGGCCGACCGACTTGATTCCATGGGGCACGAGAAGAGACGAGAAACTATTTTTCAGAAATGTGGCATACCGCGTTGCGTTCACGTTTCGAGTTCTTCCTTTTATTTTTGATTCGGCTATGAGTGTCGCACAATCATACGCTTCAGACAAACGGTATCCTACCCGCACGAAAGATCGTTCCAAACTGAGCAGTTCGCTGAGTGTGCGCGCGTTATTATCGTGGACATATTGTAAACGACTTCAACAACTTCATTAGTGTGTGCTGCTGTCAGTGCCGGAATTCCAATTCAAAGGAAAGTACGTTTGAGGTACATTTTCGTACGCTGGAGTTAAATGCTATTTCGAGTGGGTATGTTTGTTTTGACGAAAATGTGTGTTTCCTAAATGTGCGATGGTAATGGATTTGAATTTTTTATTATAATATTCTCATTCTCCAAGCATTAAGACATGAAATGTACACAAAATTGACAGAAGTCGGGCACACTTAGAAAAAAAATGGTAATCAGCTGGTAGAGCTCTACCTTACCATTTTATTGTACCAAGAGTATTTCGAAACTTGTATAGATATTACTTGCATCTAAGACTCATTTCTTAGTAACGGGGAAAATAAGGTATTTTAATTTGTTTTCTGACTAACCCATTATTTGCGACCTACTGCTTAAGCAGATGATAGTTTGTTTTCGTTGCCTTTTATTGGGTCTGTCGCCTCATAGAGGCAGGCGGCAATATTTTCAAAATATTGTACTGTCCATTGAGAGTTCCAACACTGTATTGAGAATTGTTAATTGTGTATCTTGTGCCCATGAGAACATTGAAGATATATCCTCTCCCAGTTTTTGATGTCTCTTTTCCGTCATTTCTGAGATACTTTTATTGAGCTGCTAACATTCATTGTTATTTATACGGCCATTTTGATTTGTCATTTCTGTCTGCCTGAAATTGAGTTGGGAGACTCATTCCTCTCGGAGCAGCAGCGGCAGCAGTCCAGTAGTTGTTGTTTTTGCCTTCCGTTGTGTTGTAAGTGCTGGGAGGACGACTGTTACTGTTTTGCGCTCGGCTGTAAATGAAGTCATTATTTGAATTATGTTAACTCAATTATGTTAACTCCGATGCAGACGTCTATACAATGTAGCGCAGGCACTCTCTTCCTCCCCCATCGCCACTTCGTCACACCTACGCTAGACTATTTCTTGAAAATCTATGTAAAATTGCTTTTTCATGAATGCCCTACGATGGCAGCAGCAGCAGCAGCAACAACAACAAATGTTATTGGTATGCGGCCAGGTATACCAATAATAAAAACAAGAACCGCCAACAGTATCTACCGATACCACCACCACCATCTCAAATCGTACTCATTTAAGCCACCAACAATAAACATTATGCAAATAAACGCGCAGAAACTATGAAAGCCGGGCGGAAGGATAAACGCAGAGGACGGCAAACCAGAAAACAAACTCCGCTTACGATTACCACCCATATCGCGAAGCACTGATGCCCGGCCGGCTGCTTTTTACCTCGAACATTATTGATTTCATAAAATGCTTTTATGTGATTCGTAAATTTAGCCAAAGTACTGTCGCAAATTGAATGATTGGGCTGGAGCAGCTCGCCACGCAGCACACCGACTTGGTATGGAACTCGACCGTCTCTGCTACATACATGCATACTTGTATATGTTGTGATTTCCTCATACGTCCCACTCATCCGTCGCCAGACATGCATGTGCGCGGGCAGATTTCCACATACGGAGAAGCCATCAGATCTGACCAATAAACCCTAATCTAATAAATTTCCCCTGGAAGTGTAAAAGGTAGACAACGAAGCTGACGGCTCACCGCCAATTCTTCATAAACGCCAGCTTTTAACTAAGTGGGTGGTCTCCGATGGTTTTTTGTCGCTCTGCGGCGATGACTGCCTACCCAGCTATTCGCATCGACTCATAACCACCACAGTGGATTATAGTAGTCACCACACCATTTGCTATTAATTTCGGAATTCATGACGGCGGGTATGCAATGGACCAGTAATCGGAGATCATAAGGTGTAGGGACAATTTGCAAAAGAAAATAGAAAAAAGGAGAAGACTATAACTCCTAACACTCATCTCTACCGTTTAGGTAAACATTTTAAACACTTAGCAAAGTTTAGTGCCCGCCGAGATCTCGAAATTCAGGCTCATGGTACAATTACGGCCGAACCCACCTAATTTGACTCCAAAGTATTGAATTCGGCCATCGGTATATATTCTGTACATGCAACAGTTCGTACTTTTCTAGTAGAAATTGCTCAGCAACGTGTACTGGGAGTATTTTAACTCTCACATGCAATTATTGCAATAAGTTGCTAAAACTTTCCAGGACGACACACTATGAAATTGTTGAGATAATCGGATCAAATTGTAATTTTTATATTGAAAAATTAACAATTTGAATCAAAAATGAACTATTCAAATTCAAAAATTTTGAACAGTTTCCGGGAGAACATTTTCCTACTCTCAATAAGCCAGCTGTCAAAATGCTCTCTTCACTCGCTCTCACTTACTGACTTTTGGGTTATTGAACACCAATTTGTAATGATTCGTTCACACTAGTGGGTTATCGTAAACATCTAATTTCCCTTCAGTGGCATGTGGCGAAAATTGACCTAATGTATGTGCATGTGATTAGATTTCAATTGAAAAGGTTCCGTGACGTTATTCCGCAGCTGGAAACTATACCTTCAGAGGAATGAGATGAAAGCATAAATGTTTTGATTCGACATTTATATATTACTCGAATTAAAAAAGAAATGATTGGAAAAGTTTTTTTTTAACATTTAAAAACATAAGTGCATGTGATTGGTGTTAGCATGTATTTGGTGTAGGCTCGTCTTTACCTTGTGATTTCAAGGGAATTCTTGGCGTATTTCACGCCGATTGTTTCACTGTGCAATGTGTTGTGGCGGCTCTGTGTGATGCACGGGTGCCTTTCTTGTGCCTTGGCAAATTTGTTAACATTGTACATGTTTGTTTTGAGTTTCTTTTTCGTTGTTGTTTTTGGTGGATTGCTGATGCCAAAGTCGTTTGGGTGGTAAAGCAGTTGACTGTTAACTGTTGCCAATATCGACTTGTTATTGTTGGGGTATGGTTATGTTCCTTGTTGTACACCATGTCGAGGCTCAAAACCCAAATCGACTCATGGTCGGATGTTTTAGTACAAATTTTCAAGTTATCAAAGACAAAAGTTAACCAAAAAAATGTATTCTTGGTTCTTAAATAGGAGCTGGACCCACTTTTTATTCAAATGAAGCAGATAAGGCTGACCTGGGAACAACCAGGGAACTCCATACAAAATTGTAATGTTTCAGCCGTAGAATGCCTCTGAAAGCTTCAGCAGAAAGAAATCGCTAACTGTATTAAAACACGGAAATCAATGGTAACATTTTCTAGGACATTAATGTCAATTAGAATTTTTCAAGGGCCAAAAACCAAACAACCTTAAAAAATGTTAGACAACACAAATATTGTTCTTTCTTGGAAGCGCCAAATACAGGGTCATGACTAGACCGGAAATGCCTGATATGTGTGAAACCGAGAGACTAAATTTCAACTACCCATGAAAAGATCAGTTTCGAATGACCTCTGAAACGGTGTAAACTCGTGCAGAGGGGAATTATATTGGCAACGGGAATAATATTTATGTTAAGTGTGCATGGTCCATAGCCTGTTGAAGAAATTTTTATACACACATGCACACGAAATGCTGTGTGTGTGCGCGTGTGGATACAGTTGAGTTGAGAAAACATTGCATTAATATTATTCCGATTCTTTAAATGATTTTTTTCCTCCACATTAGTTTTTTTGCTACAACATTTTGGGCTAATTTAGAATTTCCTCATCCTAAGGGTATATTCAAACACACAAGGTTTGCCCACTATACTCTAAGCGTACCTTTAGTCTTTGGACGTGAAGTCGTATACCAGAATTTCAGATAAAAATGTCGGAAGTTTTCAAAATGTGCTTTTATTTCGATCACAGCTGTGCTCTTTTGAAGTTCGCACTGCAGCGTCGTATGCCACACACGACGTCGTTGAGACATTAACTGTAGGAGAGTTGTCGCCAACGGAACCGACAGTCCTAACAACTTTTCTCTTTTATTGAACAACGGAACGACGATTTCGATCTGTGGATGTAAGAGAGATTTCCTCAAATCAGACACTCTCAAAAGTTGTGGAAGTCAACACATTCTCGCTTTTGTAGCACCGAAATAACCGTACTCCGAATTCAAACTCGGCAGTACGCAGTTCGTACGTAGCAAATGCATGAAATTCGTAATCGTCGTCATAAGACTATGGACGGACTTCCCATCGTCTTCCGACGTATTTTAATGGCTTAGCCACCATATTGTTGTTATTGTTTGTAGCAAAGCTGTTCGCTGCCTCTTTTTGTTTTGTTTCTTGTGTCTGTTTCCTCGTATTGTAATGGCTTGCAGCCGCTGCTGCCCCAGTCGCTGCTTTATAATGTCTTAATTTATAGATTTATGTACGTGCATACATACGTATGTATATATACATATTTGTATGACTGTTTGTGATTGCTCTTGTGTGGCTAGATCCGTTGCTGCTGGTATCATTTACTGGACCACCAACAAGCAAGCATACATGACGAATGTATGTAGCCGTTGGCTAGCGGGCTTGGGCTTGTCTTCGAGGGGAAGTGGGATGACGACATTGGGTATACCCAGGAATGAATGACTCTGAAAGAACCTCCAAAAGTATTTGAGGCTTGAGTTCTGAAATACCAATACCTACCTACCAAATGCTAATTTGTTCTTGTCGCATTAGCACAGCAATGCTATGGGATTGTTGCAGACACATGGACACAAACAAATGCATCCATTTCCCTCCCCTAAAAAGATTTGGTAGACATTATCAAGATTTAATAGATTGGTCGAATCCCAGGGTCTGATGGCAGTATTTTGATGGGAACAATTGGTGCAGGGGTGCTGGAGTGACTTTTAAAGTACACAGCTTTCCATTTAGACTCAAAAAACAAGGCCGATTGTTGGCGTTATGTTCGCCATTAGGTGCTCCAATGCTTATGCTCCACTGTAGATGTGCCGACTTCACTTTTTGCAAAGTGTGGCAGCTCTTTTGCAAACGCGGTGGCTCTTGTTTGATTGCGGTGCGCATCGTTCCACATGCCAAACCGCAACTCACTACTTAATGTAATAATTA